ATTGGGGTCGCTTCAACCTGCTGACATAAAAAACAACCGGCGGATTTGGCAACACTGGTCCGCAAACTACGTTTCATATAACTCCTCCCCGAACTTCCCGCTGCCCTGTATCTTGGTCTCTCATTGGCTGTAGGTCATCGCCGATGTGTTTTTCAGTCAGAACTCATTTCACACAGCGTGATTGTGAATCGCCGACAGCTCCAGATATTTAGCATGCCAAATATTTCACGGGCGTCCCCTCAGATCGCGTCTTTGATAATTCACACTGCGTGATTGTCACTCGCGTGAACGAGCACGTGCTAGGAACTCGCAAAACATAGTTCAACATAAAATTGTTTGTTCAAATTACTAAATTTGGAAAATTGGGACAACATATGGACAAATACTTCAAACAAATACTTGAGTAGCTAAGTAAGGTTAAAAAAAATAATAAATGAGTATTAGAAACTAAATGAGGATTTTATTTCATACTAGGGCTGAAACTGAATAAAATAATCAAGATCAATCTCATAATGTCCGACCGATACAATTTTCGGCAGACATCAGTTCGAATAACTGTTGGCCTGTCAGCACAATAAAACTCTCAATAAGAAATTGCGTTTCTAAACTCATTTCCTTTAAACAGTCATTACAGATATTAATGCAAAACAAACAAACAACAAATAAAGTTGCTTAACTGAATAGTCAAATATCTATGGGACGACCCATCCCTATTCCTATCAAACAAAAATAGTCCTAACATACTTTTAAAATATTCCATAACTGAAAGTCATGATAACTTGAAGATTCAGTTACTGATTCAGTAACTGATCTGACATATTCAGTAGATTAATTTGTAAAAGATTCATCAGACTGTTTCAAACAATGGCTGAATTTGACGTTTTGTAACTACCGAGTCTTTTTGAATAATTCATGGAGAAGATGGCTCATAAGAGTCATTTGATCATGAATCAAACTGCACTGCTGGCCCACTATAATACTGTGTGCAGTCAACAAGGACAATACAATAGAAAGATGTTTTTTTTTGTTTGTTTTGGTAGTCTGCTGCATTACACTCCTTAAAAGGAACTCACTGTGTGTTTCGTAAATCGTTGCAACATATATTTAAAAAAAAAAACATCAATGGAAAGTGGTCTGCTAGAGCTTTTGCCTGTGTTCGCTGTTTTAGGTTTCAGGGTAAAGAATTCGATTCCAGTTAAAGAGCATAAGCGGCTGTAAGCGGAGTTCAGAAATGCACGATGGCTTGAAGACAGAGTGTACAAGAGAAGAATTGTCACCCTGTGAGTGATGGCTTAGATGAGTAGTCTGGTTACGCCACCCCGCTGACAGCGGGTGGTCCGGTGTCAGCACTGCTGATGTAAGAATTACGGCAAACTGGGGTGGAAGAGGCATATGGAACATGGTTGCAGACAGGACACTTAAATTAGCTCTGAAAACAAATCAGTCACGGTCAGATACACACTTCATGTAACACCTACCTGTACATAATCTGTCATTTGTGTAAATGTGACTAACTCCTCCTTTACATCACATTCAAGAGCAGTTACAGCTGTGTGAAAGCGCACACATGTTTCAGTCTCAGTTTTTGAAGTTTAGCAGACTCTCACTTCATAAAGCTGCCTATTAGAGGCAGTGATTGCTGGTCATCAGGCAGATAGTCTTTGTTAGTATGCTGTTTTTATGTGCATATAAATGCCATTTCATTATTGTGACGAGTGGGGGTGGGGCTGAGAGCCGTGGGAACGGAGCGAGGCCGGTGGAGTAATTGATAATGAGCGACACGTGCACCACTCACCGGTCTCGAGTCTCACGGAGGAGCTCCGGAAGGATAAAAAGGAGGGGTGACGACAGTGAAAGACGAGAGAGGACCAGGCCTGGAGTTTATTTTGTGTTTTGGTTCTGTTTGTGCGTGACAGTCGTCCGCGAGGGGCTGTCGCGCTATTTTGTGTTTATTTTATTATTAAAGTTTTCTTTGAATGTTCGCCGGTTCCCGCCTCCTTCTTCCCGTGGGTATGTGACGAGTGGGGCGGGGCCGAGAGCCGTGGGAACGGAGCGAGGCCGGTGGAGGAATTGATAATGAGCGACACCTGCACCACTCACCGGTCTCGAGTCTCACGGAGGAGCTCCGGAAGGATAAAAAGGAGGGGTGACGACAGTGAAAGACGAAAGAGGACCAGGCCTGGAGTTTATTTTATGTTTTGGTTCTGTTTGTGCGTGACAGTCGTCCGCGAGGGGCTGTCGCGCTATTTTGTGTTTATTTTATTATTAAAGTTTTCTTTGAATGTTCGCCGGTTCCCGCCTCCTTCTTCCCGTGACTACGAACTGTGTTACAATTATTATTTTAACTTTAAAGTCACAGGATCACTTTAGATTATGTACATATATTTCGTATCAAGAGGAAAAGCTGCAGGAGACAGTGTGTTGAAAGGGTGAATGGAGGGTTACTATGAGAAGGTTTGGTGGTTTTTTTATAGACGCTAGTGATCTTGGGATGCTTGGGAACTCACTTAGCATGATTTACACAAGTAGGACATGTTCGCAGTCAACATCTTTGTTGTTCTTTACAAAACATTCCTATCAACCAGTCAGCACAACCAGTTGTAGCAGTATGATAAGTATTAGGTTTAAAAGCCTGAGTAACAATCTTATCGGCCATCATTTCCCTCTGATTTTAATAAAATATTTTAGAATTTAAATACACTACCGTCCAAAAGTTTTAGGTAGGTTTTTATAAAAGGTTTTTGGAAAGACACCTTGGTTACACTTTACAATAAGGTTAATTAGTTAAGGTCAATTAATGCTTTAAATAATATTAACTAACAATGAACAATACATTTGTTACAGTATTTATTCATCTTTGTTAACGTTAATTAATAAAAATACAACCGTTCATTGTTAGTTCATGTTAGCTCAGGTCCATTAATTAATATTAACAGATAAAACTTAGAATTTTAATAATGTATTACTAAATGTTGCAATTAATACGAACTACGAATAATAACTAAGAATAATAAATGTTTAGTATTTTTCGTTGTTGGTTCAATTTAACTAATGTTAACAAATGGAACCTTCACAAGCGTTGCCAGGAATTACAATGTGGGTGGGCCCACAGAAAACTGGGTGGGCCTAGCCTAAAATACATCTGTTATTAAAATAGGCCAACACAACTAACAGACACCTGCTTGAATACACATCACCGTTTAATCAGAGCATAAGCCTGTATGTCATTATAGGCAGTGTTAAGAACATAACGATAAGAACAGCATGAGCACGGCGGCCACACCACACGCGCGCGCATCTGACAGACGGACAGCATCAAATCAGCAGGACAGTAGCTAGTAGTACAGTGGTGGACAGTATGTAACCATGCTTGGTCATAGTCTGGCTCAGCGGCCACAAAAACTAAATAAACAACAGTGACTAGGCAACTACATAGTAGAAAAATGTAGAATCATGTACCTGTACACTGGCGTGTAGGGGAGGTAGACGCTGGAGAATGGAGTGCTGCTGGTGATGGAGAAATAGGTGAATTAATGTTAGCATGAGCAAAGCTGTTTAGCTGCTTGAGCTTAGAATACGCGGGGGATGTTTTATTCATACTCGAAACCAGAGGGCGCTCTCTCGCGCAGAAAGCACAAAACGGACTCATAGAAGTAAGGTGACGTGCCAGGAAAACCCTAATATGGACAAAGGCATGTATAATGGCATCCAGCGATCTCTGCTGTAGCTAAGCGGCAAGGGGCTGTTTGCAAACTTATCTTCATCATTAAATGGCAAACAAGAATGAAGAAACAACTTAAATTTGAAATTTATTTTTTATAGGTCAAGTATTATTGCAACAGAATTCACAATGATTAGGCTACCTTGTGAAGCAACTGACTGGGTGGGCCTGACTGACAGTTGGGTGGGCCCAGGCCCATCCGTAGCTACGCGACTGGGAACCTTATTGTTAAGTGTTACCGAAATCTCTTATGCTCACCAAAGCTGAAGTTATTTGCAGTAAAACAGTAATGCTGTGAAATATTATTACAATTTAAAATAAGCCAAGTCTTCTTTATTTCTATAACACTTTATTAAATATAGACTGTGCCAAAGCATCTTCACAGAGATAAACAAGAAAACAACAGAATCAATTATGGAAACTCAACTATGGAGACAGTTCAGATTTTGCTGTCAAACAGCTTTAAAATACAGTAGTGTCATTATTTTGCTCAAAAGTAACTATTTTCGGTTTTTAATATATTCTAAAATTGTATTTATTCTTGCAGCCATTACTCCAGTCTTCAGTTTCACATGATCTTTCAAAAATAATTCTAATATGCTGATTTGGTGCTCAAAAACATTTCTTCTGATTATCAATGTTGAAAACGGTTCATATTTTTGTGGTAACCATGGTGATTTTATTTTTTTTTATTTATTTTATTTTTTTTCAGGATTCTTTGATGAACAGAAATTTCAAAAGAACATATTTGAAATGGAGTTGGGAGTTGTTTCACATGACAGCAAATAGACATAAATGAAATACGCCCAAATAAATCAGAATTGAATCAAACTGAATCAAAACTGTAATCAAATCAAATCAAGAGTTTGTAAATCAGAATAGAATCAAATCAGGAAATCTGTATCAATATCCATTAATTATGTTGTAAAGTCAAAATTGACCCTTTTCACTTTCTTAATACATGTTCCTGCTGGTATTGTACAGAAATTCAATCCTCACTGAAATTTTTACCTCACTGAATATCTTGTTGAACTCTTAACTATAGCTATTGTGGAGGTAAAATAAGCGGCTACTGCATCATGTTGACTTTAAGGTCATGGTTCACATCTAATTTCACAAACTACTTTGAGGTTTTTTTTGAGTACTTCGAGTGTTTCCTGGTCAAAATTCTCAACCTTTAAATGTTTACTCTAAAGTCTATAAATATGTCAAGCAACTTAAACAATGTGAAGCAGACTCAGAAAGTTTAAAAAGCTCACAGTCTGAGCTGAATTACAACTTAAAGACAGAAGCCTTTAAAACACTCAAGATTTTAAAGGTGATGCCAGTTTATCTTGTGTGGGGTTCAGGGCAGGTGTCTATTATAAAAAGAAACACACTGACAATGGATCATTGAGTGTCAAAATCCCTGACCTGATCTTCAAAGGTGGGCCAGAGCTGCAAAAGGAGCGTGTCCAGCTGCACCTAATGTTAAGGGTCCAACGTTAAACACACAGGAAGGATTTGGTTCTACTGGGTTTACTTTTACTACCTGTTCTCCCAGTCTGTCCTCGTTAACTGAACGGAATAACGACATTAACATATGCAGGCCAGAAGCCCTGTCGGTCTCCTGAGTTTCCTCCTGTATCTCTGCTGTTCCCAGATCTTACACTCTTTCCATTAGAAGCGAGAGAGGGAAGACGCCACTCCAGAGAGCTTAAATCTTGATGCATGGTAATGAGAAACACAGGTCTAAAGTCTGGACTATATTTCATCAGAAGAGCTTTGCTACTGCTTTACACCTGCACTGCCCATGATTTTTGAGTCTCTGCGAAAGCTGGGTGCTATGTATCTGTTTAGATTCATGGTAAATACAAGTCTTCAAGCCTTTTACAGAAGCGGGTCATCCTAACAGCCTCTTACAAACAAGCAATATCAACACACACAGCAGAGACATGCTTATGGGGCTTTGCTCGGTTCTCATGCACCGAGCAAACACAAACATTTATGACATATACTTAAAATCTCTTACATATGAACCGGTGTATTTACATACTTTTCTTATGATGCTTTGTCTTAATGATGCTTAAATGAATAATTTTAAATGAAACATTTTACATTGCCTGTAGCCCGACACACTGGGATAGCAGGGGCGTGTCCACAAGGGTGGCATTGGGTGGCAACTGACACCATAAAAATTAGCTTTGCCACCCCAAAGCAGAGTAAAGGGATCTGAGTGCAGTGAGAGCGGAGTGAGGAGAGGAGCAGCGTGATTTTGACTAAAGCAAGGATTGTTTTGAAAGTCGGAGAACATACAAATCACGCACACACAGAAACAAAAACTTATTATTGTCAACGCTGTCCTGTGATTTTTCAATAAAGTTGCTTAAAAACAGAAAAGTTATAGCAAAAATGTCTTTGTGTTTTTAAGTAATTAAAACCCACAGCTTCACTATTAGTAGACAGACGTTGCACAGACATGTAGAACTAATTCACACGCAATCGCGCTCTTACAAATGCATTCAAATAAATGTAATCTTACAGTGCTTCTATCTGTAACCGATTTAATGACTGATAAAATAACTGATGAAAATGTAGGCTACTTTTATTTTCATCCTTCCAAACAAAATTTGTGCTGCAAAAAGCAACACTGACAGATTTAACTTTTTAATGCTGATAACCTTGGCAAATCGTTTAATGCACACCTAAAGAAAAGAAAATAACAAGACACATTTATTCATTTTTTCTTTCCTTATTAGATCTGCTCAAGGGCTCTTACGGTCTTACAATTTTCTGCAATTATTCAGTGGAAATCTCCTTTAATAAAATAAATAATCAAGTTTATTGGTTAAAAATAAACAAAGGAGAAAGAAGGTTTTTTTTGTTTGTTTGTTTAACATTTGTTTAGCATTTTAAATGAGTTCACCCTTCGACATTGTCACAGACAGCCATATCCTAAACAAAATGAATAGAGGAGGGAAACGTTCTGGGTTGCAGAACAGAAAAAGTCAAAAGACAGACAAACAAACAAAAAAAGCATTAAACTGAGGACAGCTCAACTAGTCACATTTCGCCGAAAATCGCTGTTTTGAATTCAGAATAGGTCATTTGTGTGATTCATGCATGCAAATGAAAATTCTTCATACTTCAGTACAAAACAGCACTGAATTTTGACAAAAAGTGATTTTTTTAAAAGTCATAGTGATTTTCTAATGTCTAAATATGAATCCAAAAGCAAAACTAACAAAAAGTAAAATAACTATTGGAAATGGCAAATGAACCAATGAGTGCTCCTCTGCAGCCATCTACTGGTCATAGTGGTAATATCATGTCATTTTCATTTTATAAGTGTTTGTTTTCAACCAGGCGGCAGAAATCTTCCACTTAATTATCTACATGAATTAAAAAAAGTGAAGTTTTACATTTACTGTTCCAATTTTATGTAAATATTTATGTAAAAATATGCATATTTTTTGACAAATTAAAAATAAATAAATAAAAATAACATAAATCCCTCCAAAACTGCTTAACTCAAATGTGAGCAGTATATGGTCAACAGGAGTTAAAGGGGGTGTCACATCTTTGTCACGTTTTTCATCCCTTATTGACTTGCAGAAAGTTTTCTGTGATGGTGTTAGGGAATAGAGTAAAGGAAAGTGACAACTGTCATGCCCCTGGACTCTTTGTGTTGTGTTTTCCCTCCCCAGGTGTGCTGTGTTCCCTTTAATTAGTCATTCCTTGCACCTGTGTTTTCCCAATCACCCAGTGTTTAAAAGCCCCAGTTCTTTCAGTTAGTGTTCGTCGGTCCTCGAACGTCATTCAATGTGTTCCTGTGTCTCCTACGTTCCCCATGTGATCATTAAAGACTGTGAATTGAAGTTATCTCCGTGTTTCCTCGTTCCTCGCTCCTTGCCTCCTGAGAAGTGTAACAGAAGGACCGACCAAAACAGTAACATCTGTGTTTTCCCCTCCGTTTTTTCTCAGTGTTTTTCTTTCCGTTGTGTCCCCATGGTTTCTTTCCGTTGTGTTTACCCCATGGATCCCTTCACGCGCCCCGAATTCCTCCTTCTCCTGCTGGAGCAGGAGGGCAGGACTCTCGAGGACCATACCAGACTGTTCCTGATGGTCGCTAACGTCACCAGCTATCTTCTATGAGGCAAGTCTGAACGCCGAGTGCAGAGCGCGGTCGTCCGAAGATGGTCCTCGGGAGGAATTTGCCGCCTTTGTGGAGTGGACTCTGGCGAGAAACGGGTCGCCACTCACCATCGGCCCCGTGGAGGATCTCGCCGGAGCCACTTCGGACCCAGAGCCCAGCCCACCGTCTCCCCGCGGTACGGAGCATCAGCCTGAGCCCACCGATGACGGAGAGCCATTTCCGCGAACCAGAGCGAAGCCAAGCGACTGTGCAGAGGATCGCCTCGGAAGTTGAGCCCAAGCCGTCAGACCAGGTGCGAGAGCCGGCGACAGTGCCCACTACGACGGAGCAAGCCATGGACAGTCTGAGCGCGGAGAGGAGCTCCGCCCCCTGCATCATGGCTGAGAGTGAGCTGACTATGGCGGGACATAAGTGCCAGAACGAAGAGGGGATGTTTCTATGGTGCGAGGACGCACCTTCCGGGAGGGGGGAGTAATGTCACGCCCCTGGACTCTTTGTGTTGTGTTTTCCCTCCCCAGGTGTGCTGTGTTCCCTTTAATTAGTCATTCCTTGCACCTGTGTTTTCCCAATCACCCAGTGTTTAAAAGCCCCAGTTCTTTCAGTTAGTGTTTGTCGGTCCTCGAACGTCATTCCATGTGTTCCTGTGTC